GCCTGTGCCAGCTATTCGAGGTCTCTAGGCTTCCCGAATGCTGAGGGACCCTGTCGAGACAGAATTAAAATCCTCATGCTTTTGCATCGGCTGTAGTGTGTGAGGTGGTCTCTGGGGGGCGACTCCTCCTCGGTGTTTGGACGCTAGAGTCCAACAGAGTAAGGGCAGCAGCCTAGCACTCCTCCGCTTCCACTTGTCTTCATTGCACACATCACTATACACCTTCCATGCAAAGAAAACCATAAAGATAAACTCCAAACAAGGGAAATGAAAAACAAGTTGTGTCATGTTTATTCTAGCTGGAAGGCTCAGGGATTACACATCACCTTCCTAAACTACTCTAGATAAAGAGATCATACTTCATGTTAAGTTTTGGAAGCAAGGGCTGGAGAGATGGCTCAGAGGTTAAGAGCACTGACTGCTCTTCCAGAGGTCCTGAGTTCAATTCCCAGCAACCACATGGTGGCTTACAGCCATTTATAATGAGACCTGGCGCCCCCTTCTGGCTTGCAGGCACACGTGGAAGGAATGCTATACACATAATATAATAAATAACAAAAAAAAGTAAAAAGTTTTGGAAGCAAAACACTGAGGGCTGTGGTGTCCAGGGATGCTCCCTGTGACTGCCGGAACAGCAGGGTCCCCATACTGGGGTCTCTAGGAGTGGAAAGGTGTGCTCGCTTTTCTTATCACAGGAAGGAAGTGGGGGACACCTCTCGAAAGCCACAACATAAACCTTTAGTTGACATCAATTTCCAGCCTCCACCCATGGCATGGATCCCTCCCACAGGAAGGTTCCGTCAAGACTGCTTCCCTTTGCATCCGCATGGGCGAGGGGTCTGCAGATGCACACCCAGGATCATCACCCGCTTTACTTGGGAGGAGATGGGGCACTTCTGAAGTGGCGAGCTTTGTTTCAGAGGGGATGGTCTTCTTGAACGGACGGGAAACTGATAGTGAGTTGCGCCAGCGCGAAGGGCAGTTCCTTCTGCGCAGCCACGTCGTTGTTGGTGTTCTGTGCCTCTTCCCTCAGCAGTTAGTGGCGATCCCTCCAAGGTTCCTGGTGGAGAGTTTTGTGACATCATGGTGGGAGAGGACTCAGGCAGGGTCTAGACGCTACCTGCGGGACCCTGTGCCATAAAGTTAGGGCTTTCGCTTCAGCTCTGATTCCTCCTCCTGTTGCTAATACCTCACCGGGCGAGGTGTTTTGCGAGTTCTTGTGTGCTTTGTTTTGTTTTGAATGGCTTCTTTTGGTTAGGGATTTTGGTCGGAGTCTCTGGGACTAAATTAGCAAGAGATATTGATAACGTTCAACATGGTGAGAAGTGGGAGCTGTATCTAACTATTTTAAGGTTTTCTTCTTAAATGCTTACACTATCTCGAGCATGCCAAGGGTTCTTCTCCCCATTGTTAAAAACAAAACAAAACCAAGAAGGGGGGTGGGGAGATACAACACATTTTTTCTTTTCTTTTTTTTTTTAAATTTATTTATTTTGTATACAATGTTCTGCCTGTGTGTATGCCTGCAGGCCAGAAGAGGGCACCAGACCTCATTACAGATGGTTGTGAGCCACCATGTGGTTGTGGGAATTGAACTCAGGACCTTTGGAAGAGCAGGCAATGCTCTTAACCACTGAGCCATCTCTCCAGCCCCACACATTTTTTCAACCTGTTGGAAAGATTTTGTTTTCTAAGCTGGGCAGTGGTGGCGCACGCCTTTAATCCCAGCACTTGGGAGGCAGAGGCAGGCGGATCTCTGAGTTTGAGGCTAGTGCCAGGACAGGCTCCTAAACTACAGAGAAACTCTGTGTTGAAAAACAGTACAATGACCAGATTGTAGATCACAGAGTACTTTAAGAGGACAGCGATAATCTCAGTAAACAACAGTAAGCTGCCAGGATACACCCTCTGGAACTGACACCGTGTTGACCACAGCTTTCTGTGCCCTCTTATTTGACATTAGCAAGAAAAAAGATAGAATGTGTATCAAGAAACTTTTCCCCCAACCTTTTAAAAAAGACAAGATGTCTCTGTCAATTCTAGAGTTTTGGAGGTTGCTTACAATAAAAAAAAAAGACAAACAAACAAACAAACTGCTTACACAATTCCAGAAAATCAGAAATGAAATTTAACTTTGTGATATTTGTTCCTTTCAATGCTTTTTCTATATGTTCAGGTTTTTTTTTTTAAACCTGTTAGTGCTGCATACCTCAAATCTCAAGCCCTTGTGAGGGAAGAGCAAGAGTCTGTGAATTCCAGGACAGTCTAGGCTACATGATGAAACCTTCCAGAAACCCAAATAATTATAACAAGAGTTGACACTTTTGGTTCATCTTTCAGAGACCAAGAACTTTCTTTTTTGCTGAAAAAAAAAATCCTTTCTGTTTTGCAAAATAAAAACTCCACGGTTTAGCTGTGTCTCCCCTGCTTTGCTCTCAGGTGATGATGTAACCTGTCCTTGCTCTTTCCAGTGCTGTCAGCATCACAGCTCTCTTCTGGGGAGGGAAGGCAGTGCTGGGGAGGGAAGCCAGGGTTTTCTTCTGAGTCATACCCAGAGCCAAGAGTGAACCCAGATGCTCTGCTGCAGGCTGTGAAGTGTCCTGCTTATCCCTAGCTGACTGGTGCTGACCCTGGTCATTTCTGCACTGAATGCCCTCAAGTGGTGCAGATGTCCCTGTCTGGCCTGTGTCCTAATGGACTGGACAGGGCACACGAATCTTCCTCACACAGTGCTGGTGTCTCCTCAGTCTATACTGAACGAGGCTCCCTTGCAAACAATAACCCAACTAGGTCCACAGTCTCTTGGACAAACAAGACATTTAAGCAATTAGGGAACAGAATGCTTCTCATTGGGCCTAACTCTCAGCTATTGATAGGTTTTGTCTTGGGACCTCAGACTGACTGAATTTTCAAGACATCTTGTTGGCCCAGGGCTCCCGCAGTGTGCCACCTGCACACCTGGGACCCTGTTTAGCCAGGACCAACCATGTTTCCCCAGTACTACACTTATCACTTTGCTTCCCTGCTGACATGCATCCTCATGGCCTCACGTGCATCTGGAATGGGATATGTGTACTACATGACTGTGTTCTGGGTCCTGTATAGCCAGGTCCCTGCTGGTGTTAGACACATGTGCCTTTAAGGGCCCCTTTCCCAAGGGCTGTCTCAGGAGCTTCCCTGCCTCTCTCCCCTCCCTGCTCAGGAGATGAACCTTTTCTGAGGTGTTGGCTCTGCTCTGGCATCCTTCTGAGAAGCCTCACTGCGCTGACATCCCAGCATCATCACTGGACCTAGCCACAGTTCAGAGAGTGTCCCATTCTCCCCTGCCTATAGCAGAGATAGGCACAATGACTAGCATCCTCTTCCTTGTCCCCTAATTACTTAGTTCTAAAACTGTCTCAAAGTAAGACTCTACCATAGATAGCCTCCTCTCCGCCTCGCAGAGAGCTTGCTTGTCACAGTGGGCCTGGAGAAAATGGGGCCGGTAAAGCTCTCACTGGCCTTGAGGTCAAGGTTGGTGGCAGAGGCAGAAAACACCTTCCACAGGGACACACTGTAGAGACAGATGTCACTCTCACTTGTAGGGAAGCAACACCTCGGCTCAGCATGTGGGAAGCATGTTGTTCAAGCTCTGAGCAGGTCCTGAACTCAGGCAGCTGTGCCCTGTCTAGTGCCCGCCATCTGGATGGCACCATAGCTGGGGCTGAAAAGGACACTAGTGCTGACTGAGGCTGGTGGTGAGGAGCAGGGGCAGAAGGGCAGTGTGGTCCCCTAGGGTTTATTTTACAGGACCAGGCACAGCATAGACAAGGAAAAGTCCAGCTGTAGGACCTGATGATGTGGCAGGACATGGGAGCCCATTGTGTGTGTGCGTCCCAACACCAGGCTGCTCTGAGCAGTTGTGTGCAGGGCCAGAGATAGCTGCAGTCTGAAGGGAACAGTGCAGGTGACAGGCCTTCCATGGGGGTGAAAACTGTTGAGCATCCACATTCTACTGTGATCTACAAATTATTAACCAGAGTTCACAAGGTGAATGGGGGTGGCCTCCCTCCTATCACTGCAGAACTCTATGACCCTGGGCTTTATGATTAACAAATATCTAGGAGCCCACCGGTGAGGTGCCAACTCAGGTCTGCTCACCAGTTGTTAGGCAGACCCAGGCTACCTGTGCTGCATGCGACCAGAGGCTGATGCCCTTCCAGACACTCTTGGTTGTGTAGTAGCAGGTAAGACTGGCAGCACTGGGAGGGTCTCAGCATGGGACTGGAGTCCTAGAACTGCCTGAGGGCTCAAGGATAAGGGTTTGCAGCAAAGGGTGGTTTTGTTTGTTTATTTCTGCCAGCTCTGTAATCTAAAGTTTTACAATCCTTGGGAAAGAGATCTGCAGGAAACACATGGAAACACATGCCTGTAATACAGAGTCCGCAGACAGTGACCTAATGGGTGCATGGGGTCCATCTGCAGACAGTGACCTAATGGGTGCATGGGCTCCATCTGCAGACAGTGACCAAATGGGTGCATGGGCTCCATCTGCAGACAGTGACCTAATGTGTGCATGGGCTCCATCTGCAGACAGTGACCTAATGGGTGCATGGGCTCCATCTGCAGACAGTGACCTAATGGGTGCATGGGCTCCATCTGCAGACAGTGACCTAAAGGGTGCATGGGCTCCATCTGCAGACAGTGACCTAATGGGTGCATGGGCTCCATCTGCAGCACTGGGCTTGTTTATGTACCCGAAGCTGCAGACAGTGACCTAATGGGTGCATGGGCTCCATCTGCAGCACTGGGCTTGTTTATGTACCCGGAGCTGCAGAAGGCTTCTGTAGGGTGAGAAGGATGGAGTCAGGTGTTGCTGGACAGATATTCTCCCAGTGTTTGTGTCTGCTTCCTGTCTGGTGACAGCAGAAAGATACACCCTTGAAGAGGGCCTAAATGGGTCTTGGGAGGTTGGGAGGCAGAAGGTCAGGGGACTTACATGTTTTTTTCCTGTTCAGGCTTCAGGGAAAGTGCCAGGCAGGTATACCTGTCTCTCCCAGATGCCGAGACTTGAGACCCAGAAATCTCCCATGGCTCCTTCTCATATTCGCCAGTACCAGGACAGTGACTATAAACGTGTCCTGGATTTGTTCATAAGCGGCATGGAGGAGCACATACCCGCCACCTTCCGCCACCTGCTGACACTGCCCCGGACCCTCCTGCTATTACTTGGGGTGCCGCTTGCCGTGGTCCTGGTGTCTGGCTCCTGGCTGCTAGCTGCTATGAGCATCTTGTTTGTGCTCCTTCTCATGCAGCTCCTTGCCAGACGTCCCTGGAAGGAGTATGTGGCCAAGTGTTTGCACACAGACATGGCTGACATCACTAAGTCCTACATGAATGCCCGTGGCTCTTTCTGGGTAGCTGAGTCTGGGGGAGATGTGGTGGGCATCGTGGGCTGTCTACCAGTCAAGGATCCCCCATTAGGGAGGAAGCAGCTGGAGCTCTTTCATCTGTCTGTGTCCTCACAGCACCGTGGACAGGGGATAGCGAAAGCACTGGTTAGAACTGTCCTCCAGTTTGCACGGGGCCAGGGTTACAGTGATGTTGTTCTTGGGACCAGTGTCTTGCAGCGAAGCGCTATGGTCCTCTACCTGAGTATGGGCTTCAGGAGAACAGATCGGTACTTCTTGAGTATATACTGGAGGTTAGTAGATAACCCTACATTTCAATTAACATATTCCCTCCCTTCTGCCTAGTAAGTGGGAATGAGACCTTAGCTCCTGTGCAGCAAACAGGCCCTGCTTCATGTTCCAGGAACCAGTGAACCCTGTCATGTCAGTGTAATGAACAATAAAAGCTCCTTGATGGTGCCCACCAGATTCTAGTGCGTGTGATTGCTGTATTGGGGGTTTTGAGGTTCTGCTGTGTTTTGGTTTCTGCAGTGCCTGTGTTTCATACACCTAGTCCCATATTAATGATGCATTATGGACAATGTAAAATACTAATGCTTGTATTTCTTTTTTTTTTTTTTTTTGGTTTTTCGAGACAGGGTTTCTCTGTTGTTTTGGAGCCTGTCCTGGAACTAGCTCTTGTAGACCAGGCTGGTCTTGAACTCACAGAGATCCTCCTGCCTCTGCCTCCCGAGTGCTGGGATTAAAGGCGTGCGCCACCACCGCCCGGCTAATGCTTGTATTTCACTTTTGAGTTTGTGGACCAGAAGTTTTCGTAGGGCTGGAGGGGGCAGCTCACCTAGCCTCAGCACACATATGGGAACATCTAAGTTGGCTGTAAGTGCCAGATATCTGTGTGCTGTCCTGTCCCAGCAGGTCAGCTGGGCAAGGTCAGGAGCTTTGCAGAGCAGGCATGCTAAGGCGAGGCAGAAACAAACAAAGGATTTCCAAGCACTGCAGGTGTCAGCTGAGGACATGCTAGACTCGGGGACAAATGTAGTCTGTGCTTACAAGATTTGCAGGGTCCCAGACCAGAAGCTGGGCATGGAACTGAGAGAAGACCCAACAGATATTTTGTCATGGCAGGGTGAGAAGTTGGCTAGGACAGCCGAGGACTGCTTCTATGGGGAAAGACCGGGATGTAACTGACACCTCATGGTGGCCAGGCTCGTAGAGCTGTTGTGGGCAGTCTCACGGGGCAGCACCACTTTAGGGAGGCCAAGCATACAGCTCTGCACTTCCAAGCGGATATGGGGATGGAAGCACCCTACAGTGCACACCCCTGGTATCTAGGCTGGACCCAGTCTGAGTTCAAAGACCCAGGGATTCCAGAGACTCAGGTGCCTGCTTGTGCCACTGGGGAATATTGGGGCTGCTTTTTCATCCTGGCATTACTACCGATAACAGCTAAACCCCAGAGGAGTCAGCCAAATCAAGCCTGCCCTGGACTGCTGGCAAACCTCGTCATGGACCAATTTCAACTACACAAAGACCCCTTGCTATGTCACTCTAAACACAGGTGACTTGATTACTGGGGTTATATGTCTCACTCTTTCTTGCTACATGGCTATCCTTGACTCTGTCTTGATGGTCACCACAGTAGGAATTCTGTCCATCCTCACCCTGGACAGTCTCTTTGGGCTTCTGGGATATCTTTTATATCACCCAACAACCACCAGTATCCACAAGAGGGATCTGCACGCCCCTGAGCTCAATTGATGTGGTCCCTTGTGAGCGCCCATGAGGCAGGATGCTGAGACCATGCAGCATCTCTCCATCATAGCTTGAAGAGAATCAAGACTTCTTTTTTTTGGGACAATCCTGGGCCAGTTTCACTTGCTCTGCATCATCCTCTGCCCCATGCATAATCAGGTGCACTGAGAAGGGGATTCTGGGTGATGGGGTACCTAGAGAACCCAGAACTGAACTGTGAGAGGCCACCATCGCTTTCAAGTTCAAGGGGGAACAAAAGGTGGAACAGCCCGCATGTGGGAAGAACATGGAGTCACCGTTTTTGAATGAAATGAGGTGAATAATATCTGCCACTTCCATGTATTTAAGTTACTATTCCATCCCCAGAGCTCCTGTTCAGTTATGTAACAACCTAAAAGCCCAGGCCAGAAGGCCTCCAGCAGACAGGGCTCCTAGACCCCTGTTGAGGGTTTTTATTCTGATCCCAGTGCCATGGAGATAAGAGCCAGTGAACTTTGGACTGGCTGTCACTGTGGCCTAACCAACCCCCAGTCCATAGACCACGCCTCCACTCCAGCACCACACACTAGCTGATCAAATCAAGGTTTACTGAAGAGAGGCGTGTCCTCGGTGCCAGCTGTCAGACTGCAAGGGTGGTGTTAAGTGCAGCAGGAGCCAGATGGCCTTTGAGGAGGAGAGAACTCTGGCTCTTCACAAGGCATCGCTAACCGTTGAACAAGCCTATCTTCACTGATACAATCAAAATAAAAGATAAAGTGAAAAAGAAAACCATCAAATATGGTTAAATACTAGTTACATGATTCTGAGACTTAGTTAATATTGCTATACTATTTTACTTGTAGTGCACTAAGACATACACACCTAAGGTTGTTATGAGAGGGGGTTTATTTATTTGAGATAGAATTTGACATGGTACTATAGGCTGTTCTGGAACTTGTGGCATATCTCCGTCTGACCTCAAACCTGTGGCTTTCTCCTGACTCAGCCTCCTGAGTACCTGGGATGGAGGAAGGAGTCACCACACCAGGTTTAGAGGGAGAGAAATTCTTATACATAAAATACCAAGGATCCACAAGCTGAGGAGCCACGTGGACAAACCAGCAGTCCAAGGGGAGATGCAAACTGATGGATGACTCACTGAGCAAGAACCAAGGACACTGTAGTCGTAATTAGGTGCTTACACTTTTTATTTCAATTGTATAAAAATAAATACGTTCAAGTACAAACAGAAGACTAGAAGACAATGACAAATACCACGACAGGAATTATCTCTAAGACATGAAAAAAGGGGCTGATGTGGTTTCTTTTTCCCTTTTTCAGTAATGAATATGTTAATTTCAAAACCAGGAAAGAACAGCTAGTGGTTAACTCTGAGATCGTGTGTTGGTATTTTGGGAATCTTATAAAACATCCTTTGTGGACATCCTACAAATGATAGCATCCAATAATGTCCCAATGCTCTCTTCTTGTGGTGACAGTTTGTATGCCTGTAAAGTGAATGACAATCTGTGAGTGCTGGCATGTCCAGTCACTGTTATTACACACATTTATATGTGGCATTATCACTTTACTATGGCATTAATGATTTGAAATGACATATATGTTTAAAATGTTCAAAATAGGTGGTACTCACTCATATCAAATATCCTTTTTAAAAGTTGTAGTTATTAATATAAAAAGCAAATCTCCTGAACACACAAATCACAATTCTATCAAACAGCCCACACTGGTCACTGTATATTGGAAGAGATCCCTTTTCTTATAGTTCTCAGTGACTCCATTCTGAATTCGTTCCACAAACTTGTACGTCCCAGTTTTTCTCATCACAAATACTTTCCAAGGTCTGTAAAGTTATTTTTAGTATTTCTCAACCTCATTTTACTTGTAAGGGTGTTTTGCATGTATGTATGAGTACTGCATGTGCAGTTCCCATGCAGGCCAGAAGATGGCATCAGATCCCCTGGAAATGGAGTTACAGAAGGTTATGAGCATGCTGGGAATCAGACCAATGCCCTCTGGATTAATGGCAAGTGGTCTTAACTGCTGAGTCTCCTCTCCAGTCCCACACTATTTCTTAGACGTTCAAAAGGTAATGGGAATGAGAGGAGGCAGCGATGAGTAAATGCAATAATAGGATTTGTGAAAATGGAATGAACACCATTATTGCATGCTAACTAAAGAGTTAATAGTTCAAAATTCATAACAGTAATGAGCAACCAGCATCAGTGTAATTCATCTACTGAGCTCGTAAAAATGTGCACTACAAACCTTTCTGACTTCTGAGAGCTTTGTTATTTCTGGAAGGCTTTCCAAAGGCACCTGCTCACCTTCCACTTGAGATATTAGGTGTTGTTGGTGTATTTGTTTATCTCCCTCTTCAACGTAAACAATCAGAACCGAAGTGTCCCTTTCTGAGCTACCAAATTTTTTCAAAGCCTCTGAAATCTATGATAAAAAAAGAAAGAAAAGAAAAGAAAATGAGGCAGTGTCTTGTGTGTGGCCCAGTCCCTGCCTGCTCAGTCGGGGTCCCTCTTCTTAATGCACCCCTTGCCCTTCAACACTCCCTTCCAGCCCCTCCCATGGCTGTCCCTGTGCACAGCTGCACTTCGCTCCTCTGGACTACTGGGCTTTGCACATAACCCCCTGTGCCTCTACCTCCAGGTGACCTTCCAGGTCATCATTTGTACTCCTACTGTCTTTCTCTCAGGGCAGCTCAATTTTTGTCTTATGCATCTGCTTCTCTGAGTGCACCTGTCTCTTCTGCCCCTAGAGCTGTGTCCTGTGCAGGGATATGATGTCTTCAGTTGTTTCCAGTGACTCTGTTAATGGTGATTCTGCTGCCGTGCTGACTGCATTTTATAAACTTTACAACCAACTGTGGTTTAATTCTTTTTTTCTTTTTTTTTCTTTTTTCTTTTCTTTTCTTTTCTTTTTTTTTTTTTTGAGACAGGGTTTATCTGTGGTTTTGGAGCCTGTCCTGGAACTAGCTCTTGTAGACCAGGCTGGTCTCGAACTCACAGGGATCCGCCTGCCTCTGCCTCCCAAGTGCTGGGGTTAAAGGCGTGCACCACCACTGCCCGGCTTGTGGTTTAATTCTGCCACAGGCTTCCTAACCTTCCCCTTGATAATATCAGCACGTGGTTCTTACTAACAGCAGTAGTAATACGGAAACTTCATCAGCAGAGTTCAGACGTCTTTGTCATGTCACACAAGGAAAGTCAACACCTCGGTAACTTGCATTTGAACAGCACTCTTGGACTGGGGAGATGGCTCAGTGGGTAAAGCACTCACCACACAAGTGGGAGGATTGTGGTTCAAATCCCTAGCTCCCCTGTAAAGCCAGGCACAATAGCAGTTGTATGAAACCCCAGTGCTCCTACAGCAAGATAGGAGTTGGGGACACAAAAATCCAAGAGCTTGAAGGCCAGATAGCCTGGTGTAGAGAGTGGAGAAAGATAGGGACCTTTGGAAGACGGCAAGGACCACCAGAGGTTGTCCTCGAGAACTCCACAAGAACACTGTGGCGCTAAACACATGAACGTGCACACCTCACACAGACATGCTTTCACTCACATGTGTGGGGTGGGGATCATCCCTATGAGGATTTCAAACCATGGGTTTTTCTATGCCCTGGGTGTGTGAGTGAGCAGGTGTCAACTGCTCTACCAGGTTACAGAAGCTTCTGGTACTGACTATAAAAACACACATTCCATCTCTAGTTTAGAGGGAGAGTGACAAAATGCATCTACACCTCACGCGTTTAGCACGTGCGCTTCTACCAGTTTCTTAAGCAAAAATGCTCAAGACAACGTGGGCAGGGCAGAAATACCAAGCTCATGTAGTTTAAACTTTGATGACCAGGAAACTGACTCCACACTGGCTGCAGCAGTAAACGGCAGGCAGCCTCCACCTCTCTACACAACTACCCTGGCTCAGTGCTAACATCTGTCTTGGAGACTCTGACCCCAGGGCTACACTGCAGGAGGGGGACCTGCTTCCCTGACGAGACAACAGAAATAAAGAGTCACCACTTTACGTTGTTATTAGGGGAGAGGTTGAAGATAATTTCAGTGGACAGAGTTCTTGTCTTCATTTTTCCCAGCTTGTGGAGATGAATGGCTTTGTTTGCTGCCACCAGTATCTGAAATGGATCGACAATCTACCAGAGAGAAAACAAGGATTAGCACAGAGAATCCGCAGCTTCCTGCACCATGTGTCCTGTCTGAGGAAACTCTAGTCCAGCAATAGTGATCACCATTCAGATGGTCTGTATAAAAAGGGCTGCTGCAACACACACACACACACACACACACACACACACACACACACACCCTTGTGTGTAGGGGAAGCCCCAGTCAGTCACCTTATTTGAAGGGCAGGTACCCCTTAGGAGAATGTTTATCTATAAATCTGGCGGGTGTTTTCCCCGCCTTCCCTTTTTTATTTCCTGCTCGTCCCTGGAACCCTGGTTTTGTAAGCTCTCCCCTTCTTCCCCTTAATAAAGCTGATATTAAAGCTAGCCTGGTTATTCCTATTTGCTGGTTGTTTACACCCCTTCACTTGTGTAAAATACAAAACTTCAAAGCTGCAAGATTATTGACGCCTAATACGGAACAGGCCCAATCCTAAACTTCACAGTATTCAATGAAATCAGTGTACTTGTGTAACAGATAAGGTCACCAAGGCAAAGATGCCTGGGGGGGGGGGTGGTGCTTAGTCGTGGCTGGGTTTGGTGTTCAATCCCAGCCCTGTTGTTACCATGTGGGAATCAGGCAAGTTGGTACCTGTCTTACATAGCAGAGGAAAACAATGCAGTTATCCCCTTGAAGGAATACTGACGATCATGTTGGGATATGCACCAAGGACACAACAGTACACATCTTTACGTACCAAACAAAGATGGCTGTGTCTTTCTCAGTCACAGTAGGAAGCTCGGGTCTTAATGTGTGCTATTAACCACTCTGCTTGTGCTGGTTGGAATGAGAATGGTTCCCATAGGCTCCTATTCTTGAATATTTGGTTCTCATTGGTGGATTGTTCAGGATGGACTTGGGGTGCACTGGCTAGTTTTATGTCAACCTGACACAAGCTGGAGTCACTGGAGAGGAGGGGGCCTCAATTGAGAAAATGTCTCAGTAAGATCAGGCTATCGGCAGACATTTTCATAACTAGTTGTTGATGTCCAGCTCATGGTGGGTGGTAGCACCCCAGGGCAGGTGCTCCTGGGTTCCATTAGAAAGCAGGCTGAGCAAGTCATGGGAAACCAGTGTTAAGCAGCACCCCTCCAAGGCCTCTGTGTCAGCTCCTGCCTCCAGGATCCAGCCCTTTGAGTTCCTGTCTGAAGTCCTTTGACAATGAACAGTAATATGGAAATGTAAGTCAAATAAACCCTCTCCTCCCCATGCTGCTTTGGTCATGCTGTTTCATGGCAGCAGGTGTAACCTAACTAGGAAGAAGCTGGTAGCAGGATGGTGGAGTACTGCTACCACAGACCTGACCGTGTTGTGGGGAGGATTGGACAAAGACTTTCTAACTCTGGCCTAGAAAATCCACCAAGAGTTAAGAGATCAGTGCGCTGTTCTGTGGGATCTTGGGAGAGAAGTTGAGAGCAATACAGATGATGGAGGCCCGGCTAGTGAAGTTTCAGAGGAAGCAAAGGCTCTACAGCGCCTTCTGTATGAAAGCTCTGTGGTATCTGGAAGCTGGGACTGAGGAGTCAGCCGTGATTAAGAGACCAGCACTACTCAAAGAAACCTCTGAGGCACTGGGACGATAGATGCTGGCTGGCTGGAAAGGAGAAATTCGCAATAATTAAGAAGAGACCAGTATTACTGAGCCCTTCAGACTATATGCTGTTTCAAACTTAAAACACCAAGTGTGACTTAATCCAATATTTTCTACCTCAATATAAGAGAAATTAAAGGTAAAATTACATATTCTTAAATGCCTGGCATGGTTAATTCATTCTCATATTTTGTACTTACCATATGAGGGTTTATCAATGAACCATTGAGAGATCCTTCCATGGCCTTTTTTCTCAAGTCCCCTGCATTTTTTACATCTTTAAATAACAGAAGTGTCACTCTGCATTCAGGAAACAGGTCCAACTGCTGAGATAACTGCATTTCCTAGACAACGAGGACACTACTGGACAAAAGGAAAAGACCACAGCAGGTTGTTACATGTCAAAGATAGCATCCATTTTCCCCACTGGTTTCCTCTCTGCGTCTCTCTCCTGACAGTCTCTCCATCCTAGACTTGCTCTGTACCTCCATCCCCTGCCTCCATTCCCCAGGACCTAGAAATGCTTGTGAAAATACACTCATCTGTAACCAACTTAACAAAATCCTTACATTCTACTTTCCTGATTCTGTCCTAGCTTCATTTCTGCTGCTGTCATGAAACATTCTGACCAGAAGCAACTGAGGGAAGAAAGGATTTATTTGGCTTACACGTCCAGGACCCCAAAGACAGACACCACAGAGGAACACTGCTTGCTGACTCATTCACTAGCTTCTGCTTAGTTAGCGGTTTTAATGCAATCCAGGACCTCGTGCCCGGGGATTGTGCTGCCCTCAGTGGGCTAGGCCCTTCTACATCACAAAAGTCAAGGCAGTCCACCATGACAGGTCAACAGACCAGTGTGAGCTGCACAATCCCTCAGCTGAGACTCCCTTCTCAGGTGACTCTGAAGGCTATTGTCAAGCTGGCGGTTAGAGTAACAAGATAATCTTATAAACTACACAACTATTAACATAAAAAAATGTCCAGTGAGTTCCAGGACAGTCAGAGCTGCACAGTGAGATCCTGTCACAAAAAACAAAAGCAAAACTACAATGAGCATCTAGAATAAAACCCAAAATATAAATACTACTACCTTCGAAAAGCCTGAATTTTTCGCTGTAGAGATGAGTTAGCCAACATATCTAAGCCCACAACTAAAACAACAAAACCTAAAATGTTACTTCTGTGTTATACTGAACGGTGCACTTCCTGAAGCAGCTTACTGGTGCTGAGCACAGCACAGCTAGTTAACAGTACTTGACAGTTTCTAGTATTTGGCAACAGAAATCACTTCTAAAAGTTGCAACAATACAGGGCCAGAGAGTGGGTTCAGCCATTAAGAGCATCTGCTGCTCTTGAAGATGTCAAGGGTTTGATTCCCATTACTCACGTGGTGGTTCACAACCATCTGTAACTCCAGTCCCAACCAATGTCCTCTTCTGATCACCATTGGTTCCAGACACACAGTACACATAGATATATGCAGGCAAAACATCCATATATATGAAATATTTAAAAACCACAAAACATAAACACAATAGAAAGTTATTTCTGTTTTTCTAGAATTATATCTGAGGGTTTCTGTTATAAAAAAGCAGTTTTGTGAATAATGTCCTGAGAGTTTTTCCATGTTGGCATCGAATTAAGGAAGGATATGGTACGATATGATCAGTATGATCTGTCATGCAAAAACATGAACAGAAAACTGCAGGACACCTAACAAAATACAGACATCTTTAGTACTGAAATTATTAGGTGATTTTTATTGTGCTCTTAAAATATTATGTTGTACATGTTATGAACTTTCTATAGTCATCAAACAAAACCTAAGTACGCATAATCAGGGGAAAAATGATGTTCCCTGTTTAAATATCCATTTCACAAAACCATTTTACTTGAGTGTTTGGCTGCCGGACTCTTGCCTGGTATCTGTGGCAGCCAGAGGAAAGGATTCAATGCAACTAGACTTTTGTGAACTGCAATGTGGGCATTGGGAATCAAACCCTGATTTCTCATAGTATGGGAGAAGAACTCAGAATATTCTGTTCTGGTTTAGTGTAAGAGTCACTTAGGTCAGAAACATGGAATCATTTAATCTTCATCTGGTTTGACGCCTGTAAAATTAATATTGAAATTAGCTCCCAATATGAGAGCTTAAAAAGTGGGGCTACGTGGAGACTTCAGAAGATGTCAAAAATCATTAATCCACTCATGATTATAAAGTTAATGATTTATCTCCAGAGCAATTAGGACTTTGCACTCAAAAATTCTTTAACCAGTAATATTATTATCAAAATAATGGTTTATATCTCCAGAGCGACTCTACTATATATGCAAGTTCTCCTAGCCTTCTAACCTGCTCCCTGACTAGGAGGCAGACAGATCTCTGAGTTCCAGGCCAGCTTGGTCTACAGACTTAAGTTCCAGAACTGTCTTGGTTACACAGAGAGACCCTGCCCCAAAAAACAAAACGAACAACAAAACACCTCACCCCATGAGGTATTAGCAAAATTGTAGTATTAACAACAGAAGGTAGTTCAATGCAAATGCCTCAAACTGTTACACAAGGTCGAGTGCCCGTATCCTGACTCTACCTGCAAACAGAATTCTGACTCACCCCATCAACAGCACCCCAAGAGCGTTCTCATCAAGGGGCCTGCGCACCAGTAATGAAATCCTAGCCTATCAGGATGGTCACGAGGTCCTTCAGGAGTTATCAAAGCTGAAGCAAAAGCCCTAACTTTATGGCACCGGTTTCCACAGGTAGCTTCTGGACCTTGCTTGAGTCCTCCCCCTCCCGATGTCCTGCCACTCTTTTCAGAGGCCAGATTTCCCAACGGGGTGTCCCTGTCCCCGGGTCTTCCTTCCTAGGTCCCTCCCGACAAGGTCCCTGTCCAGGGCACCGCCGGGCAGTTCTCCCACGAGCCTCCCTCCCATCCCAGTGCTGGGGCCTCCCCGGTGCTTCGCGGTCGCATGGGGCTCCTCCTGCATCAGCCTCGGACACCGCCGGTAGGGGGCGCCCAGGAGAGAGGAACCGAGCGGCCTTCCGGCACGACCGGCGATTCTGGAGTTACATTGCTCTCCACCTGAGGCCTGGGAGGGCTCGCGACAAACACTGGCGACAGGAGATTCACGCAACGCCAACAAAACTGTGACGGCGGAGAAAGAGCTTCCATTCGCGCAGGCGGAACCCACCAGCAGTCTTCAGTCCGTACAGGAAGACTGTCCCCTCGGAAACAAATCTCCCACTCCCGGAAGTTCCCAAAAGTTTATCGGGTAAAAAGGTTCCGAGACACCCTGTTTCCGGATCCTGGTGGGCGTAGTCAGCTTAAATCTGTTTGAGTTGCTCTGAACTTTCCCCAACTACTTGCCACTACTTGCGGACGCCGAGGAGAACTGGTTCTATTCCGTCCCCTTGTCGGGAGTTACAAAGGACCTAGAAGTTGAGGTATGGCGTTTAGTGTCGGCTTTATTCTCAGCCTGTGTTTAACGTCCTCAAGTTCTTCATGTGAACTGAAAATTGTCCACCAGGACGAGAGTCACAGCTTTTCAGAGATTTTGAGGCTCAGTTTACTGAGTGTAGTCTCGGTAGGAAGCGGAGATGCAATGCGGTGGAGTCTCACATTGAAGGAGCTAGCTCCTCTCGTGCTCGGAGTCTGACAGAGGAAAGAGGCATATCTTTTGAGCAGACCTGAGGATAGTGAGGCGTCTCTGAAAGGATGCTGGGGTCAAGATCCCGGGAGCCACCTGCCTTAGGCAATTTGTGCAAGACTAGAGCACTACTACTCTTGGGGAAGGATGACCGCGAAGGGTCGTGAAACCTGATTTTGCTTCGTGCTACCTGCCATAGAACCCAATAAATAGAGAAAGGATTGAATTTTAACATTACGGTTTATCCAGAGAGCCTGCAGTATGCGGAGAGAGCAGATTAACTATCCTAGACACATGTATTCCATCATCCTCAGCCAGCACATTATAAAGAGAGGAAACAGAGCTGGAGGCAGAGGCAGCCAACTATTCTGGAGCTCCGTGTTGCCTCCCTGGTCAGGTGGTTACCTCATTTCTGAGAGGTGATGTCTGTGTTTGTTTTATTATCCTTGCACTCTTTCCTTGTCTGTGGATGTTTGGACTCAGGCACTTCTTGAAACTCTGAATCTTGGTGGTTTCTAATGATATTAACCTTACACTCCTTCAGAGGCATCTGGGCTAGGGTGGGAAGTTAACTCAAAACAAATGAGAGTGTGTCCATGCTAAGCTAATATGTGCATTTTGACTCCTTCCTACAGTATGGAGTACGTGTGTCTTCATAGTACAGAATATGAAAGTGTCCCCATCTGTCCCCAGTCTTTCTTCTATGCTAGTACTAACTCTGAGATCTGTGTCATACGAAAGACGACCTCTTGACACCATGCACCTGGTTGATTGTCAGAATGGCTTCTTACTTGTAAGAGGAATTCTCTGGCACGTTACCGATGTATGTGAGAGCTCACTCTGGGTAGCAGGAGCAGCTATGACTCGGAGTGAACATTTCTGAAATATGCCTTTGTCTGAAAGAAACAAACAATAAAAATATGAACCAGCATTGGAAAACAGAACTGTTTCTCTTTAGCTTTTTGGCTTTACCTCTGGAGAGTATGTCACAAGCGACTACATTCTTTCTTATTACTTTATAAATAATACCAATAAAATTTCCACTTCCTCCCCTCCTCCCACTTCCCTCCCGTTCCCCCCATCCCCTTTCACCCACCCCTCTCCAGTCCTAAGAGAGGGCAAGGTACCCTGCCCTGTGGGGAGTCCAAGGCCCTTCCCCCTACATCCAGACTTAGGAAGGTATGCATCCAAAGAGAATAGGCTCCCTGAACTGGCCTTGTCCCATAGTCAGACTGATGACTATCTTAAATATCACTATAGAACCTTTTTCTGGTGATGGATGGAGATAGAGAGAGAGACCCACATTGGAGCACCGGACTGAGCTCCCAAGGTCCAGTTGAAGAGTGGAAGGAGGGAGAATATGAGCAAGGAAGTCAGAACCACCAGTGGTTGGTTCACCCACTGAGATAGTGTGCCTAAGCTTATGGGAGCTCACCAACTCCAGCTGGACTGGGACTGAACGAGCATGGGATCAAAGTGGACCCTCTGAATGTGGCTGACAATTGAGCAGACTGAGGGGCCAATGATAACGGCACTGGGATTTGGGACTACATTCTTGCTCTTGGTTTTGTGTCCAGCCCCCATGAGGACACTCTTCTCCATTTGTCATTCTGCCTATTTCCGCTTCCCGAGGGCTGGATGGCAAACAAGCAACATCTTGTCCCAGGGGATGTGCTTCTGACACCTTTCCACATCTCTGAAGAATGTTCTCGAAAGATACTGTTGATTTACTAGAATGGTTTATCTTCTCTCTCATCCCTGGGATTCGATCTGCCTCAGTTGGTTTGATCTGATTTGTGTGTGTGTGTGTGTGGGGGGGGAATATTGACAGGTGTCAAAGAATCAGTGCCAATAAAACCCTTTATGTCCAGTTTTAGGCAACTAAGAGGGATAGAAGGAATACTCCTAGGCCCAGCTGGAGTCTGTTCTATCCATTTTATGTTTCTTGTTGATGATGTTTTAGCATCTTTAAAAACACTACTGGGGTTTCCCATTCAAGGCTGTACTTCTGCAGAGTGTCTGCACATAGTAGCCACACAATTCTTTAAGGCGAACACAGCGCAGAACTAATGGGCAAATATTTAAGGAATGCTAACTTAAAAATTAGGAATTTGATTCAGGAGCTAACCTAGCAAGCCTGAAATGCGAATTTAATCTCCTGAACCACCCCTCCCCCCAAGATGAAAGGAAAGAACCAACTCGACAGACCTGTCCTCTGTCCTCCACAATAGGCCAGGGCACACACACTGTAACAGTGATAACAAAGAAAACTTAAACACTTGTCTGTAGATGCTTTAAAATCTGCTCATCACTTCTGTATTTAAATCCCAATATGTAATGCCTGTTAATCACTAGGAAGCTTTGCTCAGAATGTGCACTGTTGGGTCCTTCAAGAGAATAGTTGATACAGTTAGGAGCACATGAACACAAGCCCAAGTGGCACTAACAGTTTTGATTTGGAGGACAACAGTTTTTAAAGTGCTTCCTACCTGCTGTGGTTTAGGAAGTTTATATAATACAGGAGGCATAAATTTATACAAAGGAGTCATCAACAGCATCACCACAGGGAAGAATTACACAAAGCCAAAGTGCCCCCCCCCATTGTTTATCTATATCAATCTGTCTAGTGGTTTAGTTTTTTTTTTTTAAAGCAAAATTGATATGGCTGTGTAGGGTAATAGGTCCACAGTACTGATTATTTTAAAATCAACTTTTGAGCCGCCCACATAGATGTAGCAAGTGGATTATGTATACAGCAGCCAGGTATGTCATTTGTCAAGGTGAAGACATTTAGGACAGGATTTGAAATAGCAAGACTCATAAATGGCAACATTGTGATTTGCTTTTGTTGTAATTCTGAGTGGTACTGACTAAAATAATATAAATATCAAAAGAATTATATTGGCCGCGATGAATTTTATATAAAAGTGGAATCGTGGATCGCTCTGTATGAATTAAATGTCTTTAACTGTAAGTAAGTTCAGACACAGATCTTTATACACAGATACATGGGTATTGAATTTACTTGGAAATAATTATTCATAAAAGGGGTTATTTTTAAGTGCTTCTTTAAAGAAGTAAACATACACAAATTAGATTTAATGAACATTGACATAAGACTGGGTACACTAAGTAGTTAAATTCTGACAAAAAAAAGTGTAAGTAATCTTAAACACTTTTTAAAGTATTAAATTTTTGCAAATGCTGAGAACAGATTAATATCTTACAGGAACTCACTGTTTTAGAATCACTGTGTGGATGTGCTTAACTAAGGACCCCAGTAACATTGTGGGAGCACGGTGCCCTCTGACTAAGGACCCAGTAACATTGTGGGAGCACGGTGCCCTCTGACTAAGGATCCAGTAACATTGTGGGAGCACGGTGCCCTCTGACTAAGGACCCAGTAACATTGTGGGAGCACGGTGCCCTCTGACTAAGGATCCAGTAACAATGTGGGAGCACGGTGCCCTCTGACTAAGACCCAGTAACATTGTGGGAGCACAGTGCCCTCTGAACTAAGGACCTAGTAACATTGTGGGAGCACAGTGTCCATGACGACCCCAGTAACATTGTGGGAGCACGGTGCCCTCTGACTAAGGACCCAGTAACATTGTGGGAGCATGGTGCCCTCTGAACTAAGAACCCCAGTAACATTGTGGGAGCACAGTGTCCATGACTAAGGACCCCAGTAACATTGTGGGAGCACGGTGCCTCTGACTAAGGACCCCAGTAACATTGTGGGAGCACGGTGCCCTCTGACTAAGGACCCAGTAACATTGTGGGAGCACGGTGCCCTCTGACTAAGGACCCAGTAACGGTGGCGGCAGACCTTGTACATCCACTTTTCCCATTTGCAACTCACTTCAGCTTCCTGCTTTAGCCCTCATATTTTCTTCTTTCTTTTTCATTTTGGAAAAATGCAGTCATTTTATCCAGGGCAAAATCCATTTTACCATACAAAATCCTCCAGTATCTAAAATACCCCCCTTTCATTGAGCATGATGGCACACACCTTTAATCTCAGCACTGGGCAGAGGCAGGTGGATCTCTGTAAAGAGACCCTATCTTAGAAGATAAATAATGCAAACAAAATATTGTCCTTTCTATTTTTCCTGAAAATAAATATTCTCTTACTTCTTTAAAATCCATTCTCATGTTTCTGTGGAGAAGGGTACCAGTTGAGTCCTCTTGCCTATAAGGGTCAGGTGGTATTGCTGCTGGCTGGAGGGAGAAGATCGTTGGACATGAACATGGCTCAGCACCTGCCCTGCATGGGGACTGTCATTTGGAAAATGGATCTGCTGGGACTGCAAAGGGCCCGTGAGGCACAACAGTCGCGTCTTCCACGGGATGGATAAGGAGTGGGGAGGCCAGTGTGGACTATGGATCCATTGTAGTAGGACAGGTGCAGCTGAGGTGGGGACGAGCCCTGCTAACTGAGCCAGGCTGTGTGAGCCCATGGTGAGCGGCCAGACCCCGGGTTCCTCCTAGTGCAGGGCTTCTCAACTCTCCTAATGCTGTGACCTTCAATACAGTTCTTCATGCTGTGGTGACCCTAAACCATAAAATTAATTTCATTGATAGTTCTTAACTGTAATTTTGCTACTGTTATGAATCATAATGTAAACATCTGATATTTCTTGTGGTGTTAGGAGACCCCTGTGAAAGGGTCATGCAGTATGCCTGGGGTCATGACCCAGAGATTGAGAACCACTGTCCTAGCTGGCCTATTGAGGCAATGAGGCTGGGAATTGGAGACAAACACTAGGAAGTGAAGGAAACAGGAAGCAGAGAGCA